TTTAGAACGCAGACCAAAGAAGGATTTGGGGGTTAAGAGTATTTTATCACTGACATTACTCAGTATATTGCCAGCACCTGGTGGTAATAAAAACCAGTCTTTCAGTTGTGTGTGTCATCGGTTTAAATTCTGTTCAGACAGTGCACCCCCTTGTTGCTTGCACCTAGGGCAGAGCTCTCCCACCCTCGTGCTGTTGGTATGCCATTAGTACATATTGTATCGTTATTGAAAAAAGAAAGCTGCAGACCATCATGTGTCGTATGACTACATTTTGTTGTAATTAAGTAAATAGGTTTGTATGAACAAAGGAAAAAGCGTAAGTGTACCCATCAAACTAGTAATAATACTAGGAAAAAGGAAACAAGGGACAGGATTTGTATGTGTATGTTGGGGGGGGAACTGTCCCTTTATATTCTTGTATTTGAATTTGTTTCTAAGATCTGTGATACTTCTTTAATAAAAATTAAGGGAAAATGCTAATATGAGGAATTACTGAGCCTTAAGTGTTTATACTTTCTATTTTGATAGATTTTTGCAAATTGCTCACCAGAGACCCTAATTACTGCCACCACCATGAATATCGAGTTTTAAACGTATAATTTAGTATGTACTCTTTTGGTAGCTGCTAGAAATTTAACTGCTAACCGTAATTACCTATTACAGGTAATTTTAAGCTTTAAATGGTAAGTAGTTCCATTATTATGTTGTGTTCCTTCTGTTAGTCTTGTGTGAATCTGTTGCACATAACGATAGTTAGATATGATCGTTATTTTTCAAACGCATTTCAACTGTAGAGGAATCCTTTCAGACTAAATCTGACGTAGAGCCCCCTATATTGAACGTGAAAGCCGAATTACTGTGCACAGGCGATGACGGTCTGCGGTTAGCTCACTGTTTATGAAAGACTGTTCCTTATTTCTGAGAGTTCTTTTTAGTTGTAAACAGACTCATTGGCATGTTAGGCTAAATCTTTGGCGTTTATAACTTGCTCTGCGTGAACTGGAGGCGCGCTGCCCTTAGGACGGGCTTGGTTCTCGAGGAGGTGGCGCCTTTGCTGCTTCAGATCAAGGAGCAGTTCAGCTCCTTGTTGTTCTGTTCTGGTGAGGTTACCGCTGCCCAGACTGTATTTCCTGACATTTTGAATAGATTTGCTCTGAGGTAACCTTCACTCCTGTTGGCTTAAATAGTTTTTAACTTGCTTCTGGGTGATGATATGTGAGATATAGCTAACTCGGGATTTTTCTGCTGTTATATACAATGAAACCTCACGTGTCTAGAAGTCTTAGAACACAAATCATTCCATATAGCCAGGTCAACCACAAAGCTGAGATTTTTATCATCTTGAAGCATAGTACTTTTATCACTTTAACTATTTTGGATGGAAATCTTTAAAAATATATTCCACACTTTTCTGGTTTTTATAAAAAGTTTATTAAATGTTACAGGTTAATTTTCTTTATGAATTAGGAATTACTGAGAATGTAAAATTTTATGCTGTGGTGAAAATGGTGATGTCCTTAGGGAATTAGAGAGAAAAACGTGTTTCTCTATTTCAGATGCCCTCAGATACCGTCTGTTTCTAAGTTTCTGTATCTGTCTTCTTTTTTGTAAGGCTGATGCCTATCATTTCTTTCTATCTCATTTATCAGCATTTTCTTTAATTTGACTTTTAATATGGTATAGCTTTAAAAAACAGTTAACTAACCTGGTTAGAATTGTGTGTAAGGTAGGGCAAATAAATTCAGAATCAGAGTTTTTCATGAATACTGCAGTATTTTTAAATGGACTTTGTGTTATGTTATTTTGGGCTGGTGTGTGTGTGTGTGTGTGTGTGTGTGTGTGTGTGCGCGCGCGTGCACGCGTGTGCGTTTTTTTTTTTTTTTGACCGCTTAAAGTTCTTACCATAAAGTTTTCAACTAAGTTTCAGGTAGATGTTATTTTCTGGTAGCTGACTTTTGTTTATAGGTAAAGATTACAGTGTTGTCAGTACAGGAATATACAAGCTACCCCTCCCTTTTTTTCCTTACTAATTGTGGAGAATGCAAGATTTCAAAGCAGTTATTGTTATTAAAGGTGGGAGACTGAGAAAGGATAGATAAAGTAGAGTGGCTTCCAGACCTTTTTTAAAAAATTTTCTCGAGGTATAGTTGATTTACAATGTTGTGTTTAATTTCTGCCTAAGCAAAGTGATTCAGTTATACATATACATATATATATATATATATATATTCTTTTTCCTATTCTTTTCCACTGTGGTTTCACAGCATATTGAATATAGTTCCCTGTGCTACACAGGACCTTGGTGTTTATCCAACACACACACACATGCGCGTGCGCGCGCGCGCGCGTTTGCATCTGCTAATCCCACACTCCCAATCATTCCTTCCCCTAACCCCCTTCCCCCTTGGCAACCACAAGTCTGCAGAACTCCTTGATATGAAAGCAAGACTAGATTTTCAACTCGGTTAGGGAATTGTCAGTCTTCACCTTCTTTTCACCTGGACTAGGAGGCCAAGCAGTGATATGTGTCATATGAAAAAGCTACTTGGATGTATATGTCTTTGGTAATAGTATTCTGAAGCTACAAAATAGAGAAACTGGTCTTTGGCAATGTCTTAATTAAAGTTTTGTCTTACAGCCAAATGATAAATGGTGGAATCACGGGAAGATTGAGTTGAGTATGGGATTGGGAGGCGAGAACTATTACTTTTATTCGAGTTGCCTTGTATTGTTTGAATTATAAAAATCTGTTGCTAAAATCAGATTATTAAAATTAAATATTTAAAACCCTAAATTGAGGATTAAAAAGTGGTTTGATCTGCCTTCTAGATGGATTGCTCATATCTGTATAATAATGCTTACCTTCTGTTAAGCACTGTAGACACTGAGCTAGGAACTTGACATGATACAGATTTATTTATGAATGTAAATATTCTTTTCCTCCTTTTAAAATTAAAATTTAACGTGGCCAGAGTCATGCAACTGGTAACAGGTGAACCAGAATTTGAAGCCAGGTTTATCCACTTCCCAAATCTTCATTTTTCTCTGTTGAGCTGTATGGCAACATGCTGCCTGGTGGGAAGTCGAACCTGGGCTGTTGCCTCATGGCACAGATCACAGGGTCAGCCAAGCTAATGACAGTGCTTCAATTAAAAAGAGAAGACTAATCTGTTAAACAACTTCTGAGCATGCAGGGTTAGTATCCTCTGTACTTATTAGAAATTAATTTTCAGCCAAAGCAAGGTATCATTTTGATGAAATTTATTTGCATTTTTCTTCTCTATGACTTTTCTCTTAAAATAAGTAGTTTTGTAAAAGTTCCATGAAAAGAATTTAATGAAATCTTCATGTTTTATTCATCTTTTGAAGAATTACCGTCCATGAGGCCGAAAGGTTAAGAAGAAATGTTTTGAATTTTGTTTAACCTGTTTCCCAAACTTACTGGATCAGCAAACCCCATCCTAACCCTCTCTCCCCACCACTGTACTGCCTGCTCAGATCACATGGGTCTGCGGGACATATTTTAGGGGAATGTTTCACTATAACTGAAACTTCAGATTCACTTCTAACCTCTCGCCTTGGTGCTGAGGAACTTTAGATCAGATTGGCAGAAAAAACTCTTGCAGTAGTTTTTTTTTTTTTGTCTTGCAGGAGACCTTTAGCCATCTATGTAAAACTTCCCTGGAAAGATCTGATTTGCACTTCGTGATAGAAAAGCCATAGGTTTGGGTGTCAGCAAGTCCTAAGTTTGAGTCTACAATGTAGTAGCTCAGTGACCATGGAGAAGTAAACTTAGTGTTCTTAAGCCTTAATTTCTTCATCTGTAAAATGAGAATCCTGTAACCTCAGAAGTAGATAAGATATACAAAACAACTAGCAGAAATACACCTTTCATAGATACTTAGAGCACCATGGCTTCTCCACCTTGCTTCTCATCATGGCCCAGATGAGAGAGAAGATAATGGGCGGCATTATGGGTGGCGGGAAAACACGGCTTCCATCTTTTTCCTGATAGCTCTCTCAGCATCTGAGTTACCAGTATTCTGAGTAACCAGGTGTCCTCCTGCTTTCATTAGAGCTCTGGGATTAGTAAGCCATTTGGTGCTATGTAGGTTTTGATGGTTTGCATCTGTCACAGTGCTTGCTTTTTAAACAGGACTTAGTCTGTGGCAAAACTTCTAGCCACATGTGTAGAATACTGAGGCAGAGATAGAAAGTTTTTTTTATACTGTCTTTTTGTATTTAGCTCTTTGTGGGTTGACCAAAAGTTTCGTTCAGGTTTTTCTGTAAGATGTTACGGGAAAATCCGAACGAACTTTTTGGCCAACCCAATACCTATTCAAAGATAATAACTTAAATTATATTAAATTTATGCCTTTTAATTTATATATTGTTTCATCTTTATTGTTGTGTTACTCAAAAGAAAAAATTTGTCCTCATATAGAAATATTAAGGGACATCTCAAGATGAACTTAGATATTCGACACAGATGCTTTTGCCGTTTATTTGCTTTAAGTTTTGGAACTGAACCAAGAGAGAGTTCTTGAGTTGTCTTCCAGTGATTAATAATCTGTGATTCTTTTAGTGTGGCCAAAAATATTTTATGTGAGACATGCATTTTAATTTCTTAAAATAACAATTCTTTTGGCATGTATTCTTTAAACTTAATTTTTAAATTATATGCGATTAAATGGAATTTGTGGAGAAATAGAGGTATGAAAATTTACCTGGATTATGTTTGATTCTGTCATTTAAAATACTAGACATTTTTGAAATTTCAGAAATGTGAATGCCCATGTTCGGGCATAGTAAGAGAAGCCTTAGATGTTTCTAATATGTCATGTTCTTGTTGGACATTAAAGCTATAAAGCAGTTTTGTCACTGTGACTTATAATCCGATTGTTACACTGTAGTGAGCAAATATCAAAATATTTGTCTCTCTGCATAGAAAAATAATTGTCTGCAAAACGTCCCATGACTTTCAAATTTTCTTTTCTCAGATGCGTAATGACCATTTAATAGCTAGTGAGAAACAGCATATAATGCAGTGGGAGGATTTCATGAAAGAACAACACAGCAAACAGGCTGAAGTGGACGAAGAGCACAGAACAGCCATGGAGAGGCTGAAAGAACAATACGCCGAGATGGAGAGGGGCCTGGCAAAATACCCAGCCTTTGGAGAACTTGAGCCATAACAGTGACAGACTGATGAGAAAATACTGCCTCCCCTCAGAAACCGCTCAGCCTCTGCCTCAAGTTGAGCAGTGTATTCAGTGTCACTCTTCTGCAGAAAAAAGAAACTGCTACCGGAGTCTTAGCTGTTTCCTAGAAGAAGAATGCCACATCTTCCCAGTTTTAATTTCCTGTATCTGCCTGTATCTCTAAATGGGGAGAAGTAGGAGGAAAATGGTATAAACACACTCTTTGTTAATGAGGATTGGTCTTAGTTTCCATTGATTATCTCGGAGAACTGTAAATACAGACTTCTTAGAAAAGTAATTTAATTCATTCTTATGCAGGGTTAATGTTACTTTATTATTGTGGCTCAGAAGGCCGATATGGTGGCTGCCAGTCAGAGCCTCCCTGGCTCTTGGAAGAGTGTGTACAGTGTTATTCCATGAGTAATGTACTGAGAAACAACTGTCTTGGGAGCAGAGACCACATTGAAGAGAGTCAAAACTTTGTCTCTGCTCTTCAAAGAGAGCCACGTTGGTCTCTGAATTGGCCTGTTAGGAGAAGTTGCAGATTTTGCATGGCAGCGTAATGCCGTGTTTCACTGGATGACAAGACATGCTTGTTAAGTTTGTGGCCTTCCAGCACTTCATATTTTCAGCTTTTAAAATGTGCTCACAAGGAAAAGCTTACCAAAAATAGAGTTGACTTTTAACCTTTCCAAGAACCATAATCTTGCCCATAGATTTACCTCATTTTTACGTGTGTTTTGCTGTGGGTAAGCTTTGTAAGATAAATAATGTCTATACATGTTTCAGCTGTTTAATGAGTAATCAGCAAAATCTGCCAGGGCGTCCCTCTGGAACCATATAAAGATTCTGGCTCTGAGTAAACCAGAAGTATTTGCCCACATGGCAAATGATCCATGTTAAATGTAAATCCTTTTTAGTGTTTAATGTCTGTTCTCATCAGCAGGTGTATTAAGATGAAACATGTACCAGTTCTGTCATCACTGTGATCTTTAAAAATCTGCATTTACCAATCTAATTGAGGAACTAAGTTGATTTTTTATTTGCCATAAACCAAGCAGAATTAAATGCAATAATTTCAAGAGATTTATGGCAAATGAATTTGAGGTATGGATAAATCTTTCAGGTCTTTTTTTTTTTTTTTATTGCTCTTCAGTAAAGAAAGGCACAAGAAAGAAAATACTCAACTCTTGTGTTATCTCAGTGTTGCTACTGCAGAAAAGTGACAATGCTTGCTTGTGTAAATTTATGGCTTGCTGTCAAAGCTTCATTCTTGGCTGCATGTTGAAAATGTGATTAAAGTTAATAGAGGAGATGAAATAAGTATTTGAGATTTCTTTCAGTAACACTGAACTTCTGCCAACTCCCTCTGTCCGCTACTGTAGGCTTGACAGGTTCATCCATCATCCTCCGGTACCTGGACGAAAAAGAGCACTTGCTGACATTCAGGCATGTTGGAATTTTCTTAATTCTCTTTCAGTGGATGGAAAAAGAAAACATACTTCCCAAAATATCCCACACATGAAAAGGGAGGGGAACCTTAAATGAAAATTCCTTTTGTACCATAGGCAGTTTTGGGAGAGCCATTAATTGCCAATGCACCATTGAACAGATGCTGGAACCAGGAGATCAGGACTTTGTGTGAGCAGGAATGGTTCCTCAACTTGTGCAAAGATTTCTGACAGTGTTTGTTCATCTCATATGAATAATAAATACTTTACCATATGAGTTTGTATATACTATAGGAGGATCTAAGAGACTGCTTAAACCAAAATGATTTAATGGACTTTTTGAGCTTTAAACATTGATACTAAATTCTTCCTTTGTGACTTTCTTAGCTGTTCAGTATAGCTTCTAAAAGAGAGGGTTGCTTTTCTTTCCCTTTACTATTTTTAGTAGTGAACACTTTCACTTATATTTCCCAGTTTTTAAATCACTTTTGATATGTGTTTTATTTATATATAGAAAGTAGCTTTAGTCGTTACATAACATACAGCGTTTCTGCTGCTGTGCTGTCAAGCAGAGAGAATATGGATTCTGTGTGCCTCACAGGATTAGTTTCTAATGATCAAACGAAATAATGTTTATCAACTTTAAGTGCTATAGAAATATTTGTTTTTAAATTCTAAGTATTTTTTATTTTTCATCATGATTTCTTTTTTGACTTATATATGTGGATTTTTTTTTCTATTTCCTAACATGTAGTTTTTTGCTTTTTTTTTAATTTGCGGTACGCGGGCGTCTCACAGCCGCGGCCTCTCCCGTCGCGGAGCGCAGGCTCCGGACGCGCAGGCCCAGCGGCCACGGCCCACGGGCCCAGCCGCTCCGCGGCACGCGGGACCCTCCCGGACCGGGGCACGAACCCGTGTCCCCTGCATCGGCAGGCGGACTCCCAACCACTGTGCCACCAGGGAAGCCCTAACATGTAGATTTTTAAGTTCTGTTCTTATTATTGATTTCTGCTTTTATTGGATTGTGGTCCAAGGATAGATTCATATAAGACTTGAGATGTTAAAATTTGTTGAGATTTGCCATCTTACCTAAAATATGCTAAGTTTTTGTAAATGTTGTGTTAGTGCTTTTAAGCACTACTTTTAAGTATACATACTTTTAAGTATGCATATTTTCCAACTGTTGGGTATTCATTAGACCAAACTTGTTAATTGTGTTGGTTAAATTGTCTGTTTTACTGTTCTTTTTTCTTCTACTTGATCTTCCAGATTCTGATATGTGTTAAAATTTCCTACTCTAGTGGATTTTCTGATTTCTCCCTGTAATTCTTTCAGTTTTTATTTCATATATTTTGAAGCTTTGTTATTAGGTACATACAAGTTTAGAATTATCTTCCAAGTTTAGAATTGAATCTTATATTTGTAGTCACAGCCTCTATTTCTAGTAATGTTTTTGTATCAGTTTATATTGCTTTAAAATCTGTTTCTAAAAGAGAGATTTATACAGCCCACACCAGCTGGTTAATAATTTGTAGGGTATATATTTCTTTATTCTTCTGTTGGACCTTTATATCATGTTTTCATGTGCCCCTTAAAAACTGTAACTAGATTTTTTTTTTCTTTCTATCTAATTATCTTTTAACTGGAGACTTTAATCCATTTTACATTTGTTGAAATTACTAATATATTAGGATTTATTTATACAGTAAGTCCACTACATATGAACCTTCAAGTTGCGAATTTTCAAAGATGCGAACGTGCATTCGCCTGTCCAATCACGTAAGCTAGTTCACGTGTCTTTCATACATTGAACACCTTGCTGTGCAACACGAGGAGCTTACTAATAAAGACCTGACAGAATTGGAGGCCCAGAGAAAGGACGAAGAGAGACAAGAAGAAGAAGAAGAACAGAAGAGATTCACAACACAGGAAATGACAAGGGGATTGTCTTTATTTGAGGAGGCACTGTTAGTTTTTGAGCACAGGACCCGAATGTAGAACGGTATACAAGGGTTGCAGCAGCCATTCAGAATGCGATCCAGTGCTACCGTGTCATCTGTGACAGCAAAAAAAAAAAAAGAGCTCCTACCCGGACATCACTGGATCGTTTTTACAGGAGGGTAGGTAGAATTGAATCCAGCAAGGAACCAGAACCTGTGCCATCAGTGTCAGGCATGAGTGAAATTGCAGCTTGCCCTCCATCTCCTATTGCTGACGATCCTTCAGCTCTACCATCTCCCACCTCCTCTCCCTCCTCCCGTCAGTAACTCTTCTTGCCTGTTCACTCGATGCCAGCCCCGGTATCCCAGCTGTTGTACTGTACTACTGTACTTTTCAAGATACTGTACTGTGAGATTAAAAATGTTTTCTTTATTTTTTGTGTTTGTTTTTTATGTATTATTTGTGTGAAAAGTATTGTAAACCTATTACAGTACAGTACTGTGTAGCTGATTGTGTTAATTGGGTACCTAGGCTAACTTTGTCAGACTTACAGACAAATTGGACTTAAAAATGCGCTCTCAGAATGGAACTTGTTCACATGTAGGGGATTTGCTGTACCATCTTACTGTGCTTTTTGTCCCACCATTTTGTTTCCTCACTGCCTTTGGGTTTTTTTTCTTTTCTTTTTCCACACTGAGTTTTGGTTTTGTTTTGTTTTACAATTTTCCTCTACTAGTTTGAAAGGTAAAACTCAATTTTTATAGTGCTTACCATGAAATTTAGTTTGCATAGTTAACAGAATCTAAAGTTTATGTCTTTACTCTTATTTGAATATTAGACTTCTGAACAAAGTGATTGCTTCCCCTTAACTAATAAGTGTCTAGAATTTTAGTTTTATCTCAGTTTAACTCCAAAAACAGTTATTTTTTACAGTCAGTATTTGCTTATTATCCTTGAAAGTTATCTGGGTATACAATTCTAGATAGACAGTTATTTTCTCTCAGTATTTAAAGATATTGTTCCACTGTCATCTTGCTTCCAGTGTTGCTACTGAAATGACACTTGTCAGTCTGATCAGTATTCCTTTGTAGATAATCTGTCTTCTCCTTCAGGTTATGTTTAAGTTCTTTATCTTTCGCATTCTACAATCAAATGTCATTATACTACAACATGTCTACTGTGGATTTCTTTTCATTGATCTATTCAGATTCACTGAGCTTCTTGAATCTGAGAATTAGTGCCTTTCATGAATTATGAGAAATTCTCAACTTTTACCTCTTTGAATATTGTACCTTTACATTCTTTGGATTCTCTCCTTTAGGAGATCAAGTTAGACTTAAGTGTTCCCATCTCACTCTGTTCTCCATATTGCTTTATCTCCATTTCATATTTTCTATCTCATTGTCTCTATGTGTTGAATTCTGGATGATTTGTTTAAATCTGTCTTCTCACTGTCTTTAACCTATTTAACCTATCAAGTTTTTAATTATGGGTATATTTTTTTCATTTCCAAAAGTGTTGTTTGGTTCTTCTTCAAACTTCCTTGGTCATTTGGTGTAGTTCCATTATTCCCTCTTTTTCTTTTCTTTGAACATATTAAATGTACTTATTTTGCATTCTGCATATGATGATTTCTGTATTTTTCTCCTTTTTTGTGAATCTGAATCTATAGTTTGTTGTTTGTTGTTTTGTCTGAAACAAGTTTATGGTGACTTGTTTTCTGATGTGATCAGTGAATTTTCATTGTGAGTTTACATTCCTCTGAACTTTCTTTTCGGGAATTTTTGGTATGTTTTATGTTTTTTGGTTTTTGGGTTTTTTTCCTAGCACCTCCATTTTGTTTCTTATGGCCCTCTAACCCTGGACCACTTCAAAGTCAGTTTTCACCTTGAGTTTCCCTCCACTCCTACCCTGTCACTCAGTGTGTGTGTGCTCACAGACACTTACTCACAGGCAGTGTGAATTTCTTCCTCAAATGTATGCCAGTGTCAGGCTGTGATAAGACATTCCTAGAGATTTTTTTCATCCTTCACAGCTCTACTTGGAATAAAGAAGAGAAACTTTAGGTGTTTTCCTAGTTCCCTCACTGAGAGTGCTGCCCTTTGGGGATTCACCAGTTGTACTGCAGTCCAGCTCAGTCCCTGTTGTGAGCTGAATTGTGTCCCCCAAAATTCATACGTTAAAGTCCTAACCAATGCGACTGTATTTGGAGACAAGGCCTATGAGGTAATTAAGGTTGAGTGGGGTCAGAAGGGTGGGGCCCTGATCTGATAGCACGGGTGTCCTTATAAGAAGAGGAAGAGACAGTAGAGCACCCTTTCTCCATGTGCACACAGAGAAAAGATCATATGGTCGCAGCAGAAAAGGTGGCCATCGGCAAACCAGGAAGAGAGGCCTAAACAGGATGGAATTTTCCAACACCTTGATCTTGGACTCCTTACCTCCTGAACTGTGAGAAGATAAATTTCTTTTGTGTAAGCAGCCCCATCTGTGGTGTTTTGTTACAGTGGCCCAAGCAGACTAACACAGTCCCAGACTGTGATTCCTGCCCCCATGCAGGCACAGGTCCTTAAAACTGGGGTTCTTCTAGGCCACAGGGATGGGGACCTAGGACAGTTATCAGTTCCAGAGCCAAATTATCCTGTAGAATTTCACTTTTTCCCGATCTGCCTTCAGTTGTTTTCATTAATTTTTGATGAACTTGGCCATGAATAAAAAATGAAGTTAACTAACACAACATTGTAAAGCAATTATACTCCAATAAGAAAAAAATAATAAAGTAAAAATAAATACAGTTAAAATTTTTTTCTAGCATTTTTGGTGTTCAGTAGCTATTGGAGATTTCTCTGTTCAGAAAGGTATGTTAGGTATATGTTGATTTTATTATATTCAAATTTCCCTCCCAAAAGACCTTGTCCATATT